CATTATTTTACAAAATCGTGATTTGTTGTTATTGTGAGTGCACACAAATAAACGTAGAGTCTTTACAGATTTGAAAGATGTATTACTCTTATCTGTATGAGCAAAAATGACCAGTATTTTAAGAGTGAGCGCACCGGCGCCTCCGTCATGCGGTGAGCGCGCTACTGTTCAGTTTCCGCAGACACTTGAATAGCGCACATTTCTCTTGTTTAACATTAGATTGAGCGCCCATGTAAAGTTGCTAATACTTACATATTTCAGATGACGAAAGATGTATTACTTTTATGTGTATGACCAAAAATGACGGAGTAAAGTGAGCGTTACTGTTTAGCTTCCACACTTCACACAGACACTTGAATAGCACACATTTCTCTAGATTAACATTAGATTGAGCGGCCATGTAAAGTTGCAAATACTTACATATTTCAGATGATAAGCCATATTTGAGGTCGATGAATGATTGACGAGCGTTTGGATGTCCTGCCTGTGTACTGTATTACCATAGACTAGCCGTTAACGATCTGTTAGTCACGGACTGCGTGACTTCGCCTGTGGAGTTTTTTTTTTCTTTCTGTGACTAAGCGACTAATACAATTTTGGTCGACCAAGCCTCTTCTGGTCGACTAACGATTAGTTGACTATTAGGAGGCAGCCCTAATATATATATATTTACCGTTTAGGCTACTTAAAGGAACACGCCACTATTTTTGAAAATAGGCTCATTTTCAACTCTCCTAGAGTTAAACAGTTGAGTTTTACCGTTTTCGAATCCATTCAGCCGATCTCCGGGTCTGGCGGTAGCACTTTTAGCTGTAGCTTAGCATAGATCATTGAATCTGATTAGACCGTTAGCATCTCGCTCAAAAATAACCAAAGAGGTTCGATATTTTTCCTATTTAAAACTTGACTCTTCTGTAGTTACATTGTGTACTAAGACCGACGGAAAAAGAAAAGTTGCGAATTTCTAGACCATTTATGATATTACGCAGCGCCTGAAAATAGGCTAACTTCTGTCAACATAACCAACGTGACCACCTGCTTGCACAGGCAGCGTGCCTTCCCTTGGAAGTTACCTAGCTGGGGACTATTTTCAGGAGCTGCGTAATATCATTGCGCCTGCTGCACCCATGGTACGGCAGCAAAGTTCCTTGATTATTACGCCGGAATGAGAGTATAGTTTCTAGCCATATCGGCCTAGAAAATTTTCCGTCGGTCTTAGTACACGATGTTTTAAAAAAGTTTTAAATAGGAAAAATATTGAAACTCTTTGGTAATTTTTGAGCGAGATGCTAACGGTCTAATCAGATTCAATGATCTATGCTAAGCTACAGCTAAAAGTGCTACCGCCAGACCCGGAGATCGGCTGAATGGATTCGAAAACGGTTAAACTCAACTGTTTAACTCTAGGGGAGTTGGAAAATTTTCAAAAATAGTGGAGTGTTCCTTTAAATTACAGGGAGGAAACTTAAAGCAATGTTAAATTATTTTAATAAATTAATTTATATTCATAATTAAGAACAGTAGTGTCTTCAATTGCATTTTATTTAAATAAGGCTATGTATTACATTAAATACATTTTCAGTCATTTGTGTTATTGTCAACCTATTTGGTTTTTTCATGTTGCTGATGCCATATTTTAATAATCAAAGGCTGTAGGATTTTGAAATTGACACAAATTTACCACACAATTTACCAGCCTGGTCGATACACAGCATCTGTTCTCTGTTCTCTATTATTGAGTTCAATTTCCTGTAACAGAAAACAGTCCAGACACTCAGACTCAAATATAATCATTACTGTAAGCTAGCTGAATTTATTTGACCAGTAAACAACTAAATGCATCTCTGTAGACATCTGAAACACAACAAACAGATCTAATGCACAGATTCATCAATACATCTCTTCTTCCATTGATCATCTGTCAGTTAACTGTCTGCTTTCAGCACAGAATGCCACTCAAACCAGTGACACACACACAGTTGAAATCCTCAGCACTAAAGTAGCGTTTCTGGTTGAAATGATTGTTACATTGCTGTGGCTGACACAGTTGTTCAGACACACGTCTTCAGTTGTGCTGGATACTGCATGCTGATCATGTGGAATTTCACATTTTCATATCATTTTAATGACATTTCCACCTTCCATTCTCCTTGCCGTAAAGGTATGGTCACATTTCCTTTTTAGCGATATTTCGTCATTTCAATAGGAACGGGCACAATCAGAAGATTTGTGTGAGGACAACATAGTTCCACACACAGATTTTGCTCAATTTTTGCTAATGTGACCACACCTTGTCAAGAAATAAAGTTATTAAAAATTAATGTCTTAGTCCAAAACATAGGTTGCATCTGAAACCACTTACTCTTTTCAGAATAAGCAATTACTTGACAACCAAAAAACATATGTCCTATATAGTATAAATGTGTGTATTTGTTGCTGGAAACTTTGCATGGTTAGGCACTGTGTTAAGTAATAAGAAATTCGATTTTACTAAATAAGAAAGTAATAAAATATAACATTTGACTAATTTACCAAATACATATCATTTAGCATATAATTATAATAACGGATAGTATATGCAGTGTTGGGAAGGTTACTTTGGAAATGCAACTGGTTACAGATTACAAGTTACCCTATTTAAAATGTAAAAAGTAAATGTAAAAACGATTCAATTACTTAACTAATTACAATGGATTACATTTGTAAATTCCTAATGAATGTTTTTAACTGTTAATCATCTTGAAACATTTAAAGCAGGCATTTACAGTAGTGCTCAACACTGATTACTGTCAGACTTTCAACATACTTCATCGCTTCAATTAAGATCATAATAATTACATTTTAAAGCACAGCCACCACAAAATCAGACTTTAGCACCGCCTTCTACTTTGAGATCATTCTGAGGTTAAATACAGATTTAAAATCATAAGATATAGTTTAATAGCTATGATACTGTTTTTGAAATCAAATCGTTGCATAGCTACGACAGCAAACACTGGCATCTAGCAATGCCTTGGGGGAAAAAAAACAGTTATCTTAAAAAATAAAGCATATACATAAATAGCAAATAAAACAAATATCAAATAAGCATGCGTCCTAAACTGAATTTGAGCAAAATTTGCGTTGAGAACTTTTCGAAATCACGTGGATTTGTAGAATTTGTAGAAGCTGTAGAAGTGCTGTAAGCTGAATCCCACCTGTCGCAAAAAGTCAGTGACTTCTCTTATAAAACGGCATTTTATTTTCGGTGTAAACTAAAAATAGTTCAATCCCAAAGTATTGTTTAGTGTAAAACAGGTTGAAGATTAGCAGATAGGCTTTCGATTCATTAAATGGTGAGCTGTTTCCTCTAAAAAGCTGTTTATTCAGCGTAGTGAAGCCTCTCCTCCATTGACATCCATTCAAACAAAATGGCCTTTGGTCTGCTTTTCGTTAGCATTAGCCGTTACGCTTTTTTGGCTAAAGGTTGCAGGCTTGCCTTCTAGTGGCTTTGGTAAAGTGTCCATCCATATCTGCCAGAAGTAGTAGGTCATCCTTTTTGTCAACTGTTTTTTTTTTTTGAAAACTATAAATTGAGACATACTACTTTTTTGGCATACAGATTTTCGCATACTTAATAGTAGGGAAGTATTAGATTTCGGACTGCGACAGCTTTCCACCTTATTTTTCTCGTAAGAGCGGGTGCGGTCATTTGTAAATTTAATGTGTCTGGCCATCCCGGTCTCATCTGCTTCCAGCTATTCGTTTTTAGCTGGATTTTGCTGCTTGATGATGCAAACTGGTCTGTCTTATGGTGCGTTCAAGTCATGTCGGATAGATCGTATTTACG